AAAGGAAATGATTTTTATTTCTTATTTCAACAGTTGCGTATGTTAGCTGCGACATATGAATCAAGATGCTATGACCGAAAAAATGTGATTGACAGATGTTGATATATGAGGTGTTCAGGCTGACATATAACTAACTGGCCTGCATACGAAAAAAAACCCCACAGACCTTAAGACAGGATTTTTTTAAATAGAAATTTTCTAAATTTTGGGACAATATGGTCTGATAAGAAGAACATTTGTATACATGTTTAAGCCAGAATTAATTGACATTTAAATATGATTTCCCTACAACTTCAAGATTTAAAAAAAAACTTGATATGCTCTATTCAGAACTCCACAAGTCGAAAAGTTTAAGTTTTCACCTTGTTTAAATTCGTAAAAAGTCTTTAAGGAATCTTTGGCTATCAGATTATAATCGATTAATCGAGAAAATAATTGACAGATTAATTGACAGATGAATCGCTTTGCAAAATAAATGTTAGTTGCTTTCCTAATTCCTACCTTTGCAGCATTTTTTACTTTATCGCAACATTAACATAAACTTGAAAGCAAGGGTTAGATTATAAAACATTATCCTAAGCGTCTGAGGCGTGAGGAAGGTTTTAATAGGACAAGCAGCTATGGAAATGGAAGAAGAGTTTCCTGGTCAGGTTAGAGTAACACCATCTAATTACTAGGGGTGTAAATCACACCCATTATAGCGATTTTATTCAGTATCAATTTCCTGACCCAACGATTCGATTATTTTCGATACTCAAGAATAAAACATGATTTGATTAATTGGTTAATTCTTTTTTGCCTTACAGGCTAGACAATGCTTCAAATTTGAAATAAAATCAATGAAAGCTGTAATATCATTATGCATTTTATTTGAGAAACGACAGCAAAGAAGTAGCAAAATCGTAACCTCATTCACTGAAAAATAATAATGCCTCTGTTTAGCGCCACCGCAGCACTGGAGTCAGAATTACGTCCAGGAGCAAATAGATAAAAAAAAGACCGGAGCGCAAAAAAAAAAAAACATGAATCGATACTCTTGCGGACGTGTCGATGCATCGGATCATCGGCTGTTGAACAGATGCATCAATACAAAACGATTCTTTACACCCCTACAAATTACTAAACCCAGAAGAAAACAAAAACAAACTATTAAATAGGAAGATGTTTGCAATACGGTATTAAAGTAAAACTTAGAAGAAACATGGGGTGGGTGATGTACTCACGACTCCACAGAGAGTAGGCGAGGCGGCAGTTGACTCTGCGGTAGAGCTGCCTGTTGATCGGCCAGAGGATGCACGTGCACAGCTGGATGAAGTTAATGATGAGGCCGCTCACCACGAACACGAAGCCCATCAGCAGCTGCAGGATGAACAGGCTCTTCAGGTAAGCCAGGAGAGCCATGGCTGAGGGGCCTGGAGGGGCTGAGCGGGCTCCTCTCTATACACTACGACCAACCTGAGCACAGCAGGGACAGCAAAAAGAAACCATTACCAGTGTTTGCACATCCATAAAATAGTTCAGACTCTATAATGTGATGCACATATAACGGAAAAAATTTCAGGTGGCCCCTACCACGGTGGAGTTCCTTTACAAGCCGCGCTTACACGGCCCTTCAGCCAAAACCACCGACCTGTGAACAGAACAGAGGAGGAACTCAGTAAACGATGAGGGAAGACCACAGCACTATTCGTGCAAACATATTTACCATATAAGAATAAAATAGTCTCTCTGTCTCAACATTGGGTCTTATTTTAACAAGCCGGTAAAAAGTCATCTTAGTCACAGCAACAACAAAAACGCTTAAATTGGAAGGCAGCTGGACTTTTTTTAAAGAAGTTTCAGCACCTATCCAGGAGTGTTAGTCAGTTCTGTCAGTTCGCACCACAGCAAGCTTTGGTTGAAGCGCTGATGCATGATGCTTATTTAAAACATTTACATCTGCTTCTTTAAAATAATGCTAAACTCAAGGGCTGGTTACTGGTATAATACTTTAACAAGGTTCATATGTTATGCATTTAAACCATGAACCTTTTCCTTAACATGGCTCCTGTGGGCTGCTTTGCTGCACACTGCTGGTCAGCAGTCTGAAAGACAGCGGTTTGGAAATATTTCTACCGGTAATATCAAAAAACAAAAGAAAAATCAAAAACACTGATAGTTGCAGTCAGGTGTCCAACGAGGGTTCAACCTGTGGCATGGGGACAATCTGCAGCCCTTAGCATTAATTATGAGGCCTATATGGTAGAATTTGGTCCTCAAGGAAGACATGCTGATGGTCATTTGAGTAATTTTAATAACAAATCTTAAATAGAAAAAGGTTTTTCTTTATTTATAATCTCATCTATGCCTTAATTTTGATACAGGATATATTACCCTAAAAATACATTGGTGTTTTATTCAGAGCAGCCTTAGGAACAAACCAAAGATAGTCTTTGGTTAATCAGAGTGGACTTTTCATATCGAGCTGGTTTAATACCTATTCCACATCCCTCCTATTGTGTCGCACCATGGTTTCAGTGCTCGCTCCCTAAACTGAAGCCTGTGTTTTATAAGCAGAAACTTCAGGACTTGGACAAGAAACTTATAAACACACTTTTGATATTCTCCAAGCAAAATCTAGTAAATGTCAACATTTTGTGTCTCCCCAGCTTTCACTGACCTAAATCTTAAGACGTACATTGGCATCTTTATATCTAGGCCTGAAGTAAAGGCAGTATGGGCATAATAGTTTTTATTGAAAATTGTGAGAAATTACACTTTAAAGGGACTTAATATTTTATTTTTTCTTTAAAATGGAAAAAGCCTCCTTTAGACAGATGTTAAAATTTGAATGAATGCTTTAAAAACACATTGGATTTATGCCAATATGTTTGTATTGTCAAATTATTAGAACTTTTATGTATTTTTTTTTTTCCCCAAAAGGTGACCCTCTCAGTGTTTTAGATGCCCTGAATATTCCTGCTTCAAATAAACATTTTCTAAACCAGGAAAGTTGGGAAGATTCAACACCAAAAAAAATAAAATAAATAAATTTTCATTTTTTGAGGCAAACATTTTAAATTGTTATTTTTTCTACTTTATTAGAATATTGCACATTTAATGTTTTCCAGAGCAGGTAAAATAAAATAAAAAAAAAAAATTGCAAATAATTTGTTTAGTTTTTATGACCGAGGAAAAAAAAAAAAAAAAAAAAACTATCTGGACACCCCAGTCTTAACATGACTAGGGATTTCACAATACAAAAATTTTACACTTGATATCCAGGAAATAATTAGATCTCAAAAAGAAAATTCTATATAAAATGAGGATAAAAGAATGCCCAATCAATAAATATAAATATATTTAAAAGATTTGGGTATTTTCCTTTACTGTGAATAAAATCTAGAAATCTAAAATGAACAACAAAAATATGTGAGATGGACTTTTTAGCAAATTAGTACCGAATCCAGATACAGTGTTTGAGTATCATTTCTTTTGACAACCCTAAATGTCAAATTAAAAGCAGTAAATACTCTTTTTAAAACATCTTCTATGCTGTAAAAATATACCATTACTCAAAGTTATCATTCCATATAAAATCGAATGGGGTTTGCTTAAGAAGTGTTTTATACAAAGCTTAAATTTTTACTTTTCAAAATATATAATTAAAGCCAGAATGGTAGAAAATTAAAAGGAAAAAATCTTTTTGACATCAGATTAATTAGTAATGTGAATTCTGGTTTATTATAGTGAAGAATAAGACATTATGATCTAATAAATGATTAATAGCCTCAGCCCAAGATGACCCTGTGTCCCACATCCAAGTCCAGGCTGCTTCTAAGGAATGCTGGTCTAAATCGAAACGTATCAGATTTTTTTTTTTTTTTTTAAAGCAGACAATATAACAGCTACAACGTTTTGAATGATTCACACACTAAACCGTGGGTCAATTTGATAAAAAAAAAAAATGATTACAAAAGGAGGCCTCATGTAGGAAGAAATGTAGGTTAAATCGACAATCACAGCTTGTGTAGAAAGTGGACAACAGAACAAACAATCCTGAATTGAGGGTTCCCACATCTGCAGCAAAGCCCATTAGTAGGTTAAGCCCGTTTTAATGCAGTTCTGACCAACATTTCTTATCTGTGGTCTAAAAACCCCTCGGTTCTCCAGGACGGCTCCACTGACTGGCTTTGGTAAAACAGCAAACTCTGCTATATTTTTGTTTTACGTGGGATCCTCTGCTTATAATAAGTACTTAGAAAGCCACTGCCGTGTTTAAGGATATGAATTAAACACTGCAGAGAGGCAGAGATATATGCAATTTTTTTTACAATATGATCAAACAAAAATGATGAATTTAAAATGATCTCAGGAAACCGACCAATCATGCTTTAGCTTAGCCAACATTAATTAGATGTATTACCTTCAGGACCTCCCTGTAACAATAAATTACCCAATAAAGGCCTTTCTCTAATAAAAGTTGCCGCTTCTTTTCACTCGCTCAGTTTCTAAGGACATAACTTCCAGAAAAGCAGGGAGAAAAGCGGCATATTTCATCCTAGTTCCAGTCACATTTTGGGGCCGGTGTCAAATGTCAATGTCAAAATGAAGGATTAAATTAGTTACAGATCTGAGGTTTATCAGCTTTAAGTTTGCTTAAATGTCTCAGTATCACGTTACAAATGGGACCATTTTGTCAATAACAGATCATGGTACCTTTTATCTCAAAAGCTAAGAGGTTGGTAATTATTAGACAAACATGGTTGACCAAATCCCAAACCAAGAGTGGTGAGGATAAATCCATTCCTAGAGTGCCAGGCAGCCATTAACAACAGCTTTTAAATAAATCCTGTACTTTGTTAGAAAAGCTGAGCATTTCTCAAACAGCTAATGCATGTTTCCATTCACTGTTCTTCCATTTTAAAATCACGGTTTTATTCATGTTTTACTCATTTATTCAAATCCACAAGCTTTACAACTTAAGTTACATAGCATGACATTTACTTTATAAAGACAATATGGACATTTTTACTGAACAATATCTTTAAAATAGCCTTTTTATTTGACTGTTTTGGCTACAATATTGTTTGATGAGCAGACTGACACCTCAGTAGTTCAGCCCCAATTCATCTGTAAGCCTGTAGCCTATTTCCTGAATTTACATCAGGTCAGAATTTCCTGCACTTTTATGCTGATGTGACGTCATGCACGTCCATGATGAATGGGTCCAACCTAGCAAACAAAGCGTTGATGGGTTTTCTGGATACATAGAGGCGACCGGCATCCAGCTCAACTCGGACACAAATGGGAACTCAAAGTAAGGTGAAAAAAGTTAAAAATAAAACACATTAAACACACAGACATAAAACAAACTTGTCAAATATGAGCGTGCGCTACAAGAACGAGCAGAAGAGTGCTGCAGTTCCGTGCTTTGGCCACAAGTGGCAGTATCATTAGAAGACTTCACCATGCCTCCTTAATTAGGCTTTTCTGCTTGTGAACCAAGTACTTCCACGCCTAAGTAACCCAGCTTCAACACCTACAGTAAGCTTTATATCCGTTCCTAGCAAGAAGCTTCAGACAACTCAATTAATCAACACCAAACCCAACTCTTTTCTCTAAGGTAATGAATAAAGAAAGAGAAACAACTCAATAAAATTTTCAAAGCATTTAGGAGAAGATCCTTGTTAAAGGTACATGAGGGACCAAGTGACCAAAAGCAAGTAAAAGGGAGATTAAAGCCACCCCTCCCCTGCTTGTAGCTAACAGCTATGCTAACAATTGCTTTGTAAATACCGCAAAAAGCATGAAACTGTGGGATTCTTCCCTCACGGTTATCACAAAATTTGAATCTCATACTGTGTAATAGTCAAAGTACCCATGAAAGGTGGACTTCAAATGAAGGAAAACTTATTACCGCTAGCTCTGAGTTAGCAAAACAGAATGGAAGCTTTATTCAGATTTGTTTGAATTTCACTGCAATGATTAAAAAAAAAATTAAAAGTACATATTTTTCCAGACAGGCCTGCAAAGTCTGATTCAGGTTACAATAAGCAGCACAACAAAGACTGTTTAAGCTTAAAACTAACTTCTAATCTACATGAAGCCAGGTTCATTGGTCAGATAGGGGCTCCCTGTTAGACGAAATGCTCCAGAAAGCAGCATAGGACACCTGCACCAAGTATGGGTAAAAAAAAGCCTCTCTTCCATGACGGCTGTGGGTGGAAACCCCTATCTGTTTAACCGGTTACCAACAGCCGTGTTTGCACACATGAGCCGACAAAGGACTCGCTTCTCCCTCAACTGTCTCTCACATTTATCTAAAACAAACAATAATCATAATGATTCCAAAACAAACAAATCACATTAAGGTTCGATGTTTTGATTTTTCTACAATCAGGAATATGATTTCTATCTTATTGTGGCTCAGTCTCAACGATCAGAAACTGTTGGTATGTTTCACCCCAAGCTGCCAACCAGGCTGCCTGCTTGGCCAAATGCTTTGCTGCTGCAGCACGCTGGGCTCAGGCAGACGGAGGCATTTCCAAATACAACATGAACTTTGCTCTCATTCCTCTTTCTGAAGACACTCCTTTCCGAGTCCATTTATGCAATGAGCAAGATCAAACATGGAAACTACAAGAGACT